AAGTTTGAATCAAAAGTTATCCTTGCAAAATTACTGCAGAAGTTTCAGTTCAGGTTATTGCCTGGTCAGACTAATAGGATGAAAGCAAGACTCACAATGACTCCTCGAGATGGTGTGATGTGTGAGGTCACCAGACGTACATGAGTAATGACAGGAATCCTTCAGCATATGAATTCAATAGTGAGTAGTTTGTTGAACTATGTGTTAATACTTCATTGATGGAAATTATAAATAACAGCCAATGAACACTCCAGAATTAAAAATTTACTGAGTTTCTAATTTTCTTTCACATTCATAAATTACTTTAATTTCCAATTTACTGTTAGTAAAAATGTATTTAAAAAATATGCTCAATGCATGGTTCAAGATTAAAGGCTGTATCCTAATGATATCAGTTTCGAATTTTGGACACCAACATAATGCATTAAAAAATATATATTCAATGCAGGGTTCAAGATTAAAGGTTGTATCCTAATAGACAGATTTAGATCGAGGACGCGGACGTCAAAGATGACGTGAAAATGGCGTGGCATATCCATACATGGGCACAATACGCCATTTTCACGTCGTCTTTGACGTTCGCGTCCTCGATCTAAATCTGTCTAATATCCTGGTGATACCGGTTTTAAATTTTGGACACCAGATGTTGGATACCTAAGAGGGTCTTGCCTACCCAATACCAGGTTAGGAAATCCTTGTATCCACAATTTATGGATTCCAGGAAATATTCTAATCTCAAACCCTGATCTAATGTAATTATTCATCATCATTGACTTGTGGACAAATAAATAATCTTGTATAACTGTTAAGCAACTATGTTTATACACATTGCCATTTGTTGAGACAAACCCAGCTTTTTGACTCTTACCCTCAATTGAAAACATTTGTCATTAACATTGAGCAAACATGAAATGAGCATACATGGCAACTCACAAGGGGTCCCTAAATGTGGTGACCAGACTTCTTTTCATTGTTTTAGAAACTTTTGATCTGGGAAATGGGGAAACTGAGTTCCTCAATTCAGGCCTGGTTCTCAATCCCCCCATATCCATAGGCATATGGGAGGAAAAATTAGGAAGGGGGGGGGGCAATGACTTGCCCCAGATTCTACTTAAATTTCGGCAATTCAGTTACTTAAAAATTGTGCAATACAACTCAAAAACTGGACAATGAAGCGTGACGCATATTAAAATAGTCAAAAAGTCTTGAACCTTAACATTGAGCGCGCAAGTTATGATGGACATTGCTTATTTGGAGCCTTAGATTGGGCATTAGCTTAGTGAACCAAATAGCCCTACATCGAAAGTGTTCAGTATATGCCCTAGCATTATTGCAAAGAAAATTTACCGAGTTTAAGAGTTTAAATGGGGAGTGACCCATCATCCCTTGCGCGCTCAATATATGTATTCTATATTGTATTAAAATACTCATTAATAATTCATGAAGAAAATTCAAAAGAAATGAATGTTTAATCAATGTTTGTAAATCAGATAAACATTTGTCCTGATTTACATCAGCTTTGATTTTCTCGGCTTAGACAATGTTTATTTTTAAAATTACTCGCCAATGAACTCATAAGATGGGTCGTTTTTTGTATATCAGATAAAGATTGGCTGCTCATGTTTTAACTATACTTAATGTAGGGAGGGAGGGAGGGAGGGTAATAATACTCAATAATAATACTATTAAATTTTCCCAGCAGGCTGCTCCATTTACTGTTCTAGAACGTTTGGAACACTGTTCTGGAACGATATAAAATGGAGTGCACACGATGTTCTGGAACAATGTTGAGTTTATCATATATGCGTGCAACCATGCATTACTATATATTAATTAGTTATTCTCATAATAAAGCGTATAATGATTCGCATTAATCGCATATATATATATATATATATATATATATATATATATATATATATATATATATATATATATATATATATATATATATATATATATATATATATACTTGGTCCGCGATGGGGGGAGCGAGGGGGCAGGGGGTAGATTAGAATCCGTGATTACAAAATATTTGGGACGAAAACTGACTTTAGGAATACGAAGATTGGACGAAAATATAGTACATTTTAAATTAATACTCACAAAAAGTTCGGAGGCAAAAAGTGGACACAGCTGAACAACCTATGCCCGAACCCATTCCGGTTAATTCCGATTTAATATGTGTTGCCGCTAAAATAACTGATCCCGGCCGAATATTTTGTGTTGACTTTTCAGTTCACAGTTCGACACAAACTTTCTTTCGTTCAATCAGGGATATAAATATTGCATTTGTGGACAGCAAATCGGGTATTTACTTAAATTTTATGTCGCTTGCAACTGCTAAACAATCGGAAACTAGTTTTTATTTATTACAAGCTGATTGTAATGTTACAAATCAACTTATTCTTGCCTATAGGTCCTATAGTAGACCACTCACAGTCATATTTCGGACAATATTTCGGACAATATATATTTGTAAAATATCTAGATATATACATAGATCAAAATTTAACTTGGAAGTCTCGATATATGAATTACATATCTAAGAAAATTTCAAAAACCAATTAAAATTAAGTGCATATATATATATATATATATATATATATATATATATATATATATATATATATATATATATATATATATATATATATATATATATATATACGCTCTATCTATATGGTATTGAGCACTGTTTGTGTTTCGTAAACCAAAAACTTAAGCTATTATACCATGAGCTCGAGTCGTATATGAGCCATTAACTGAAGCAATAATTAATTATCCTCTGTTACAATGTCTTGACAATTTGTTTTGCCAAAACCCGCTTGGCCTTGAAAATTTGAAATACTTTTGTTTTACAACTCGAAGACAAAGTGAAAGAAATGGTTTTAGAACCAGTATATCTCACAGAAAAGCTCAGATATATTATACAGATGTTTGGTAGTATAGTAGGTACTTATTGAGTGCAAATTCATTTGTCTTTTGTTGCAAACTTTTCTGAACAATTTATATTCTCAATGAACATGTTTTTTTCGCTGTTGTTTCGGTATTAATTCTTCAAAAAACTTGTATTTAAATCTTGTATTTATCTTTCTCAAAGCGCATATTTTCCTTTTTTCTGCCTCGCAAAACTCATGTAGTTTTTGGACCGCCATCTTGTTTTTTCGCTACTCGCCGTATATGAGCTGATATACGGCGAGTAATTCAACCAATCAGATTGCAGAACAGCTCGTATACGGTGAATGACTATATTATAAATGGATGAAAAATATGTTTATGGGATTTGGAATTTGTTGAAAAATTTTATATATATAATATATATATATATATATATATATATATAATAAAACTAATGTTGCATGTCCCACACAAAGAGAAGGTTTTTGGGCATATAAACTGAATTCGTTTGAACCGCATGGGTTGAATTTAAAAGACTTTGTTTGAACAATAGAGTTAATCATGCGAATTATTGTAATTAGGGTATGGACAGTTTAAATTGTTGAAATCAAGTGTACACATGTAATCTGAAGAAGGGGCTTGCCCCGAAACGTAATAAAAAGTTGTTATACGAGCTCTGATGTATCATTGATTGATTTATATATATATATATATATATATATATATATATATATATATATATATATATATATATATATATATATATATATATATATATATATATATATATATATATATATATATATATATATATATATATATAAAATATATATATATATATATATATATATATATATATATATATATATATATATATATATATATATATATATATATATATATATATATATATATATATATATATATATATATATGTTCCGGCGGGGGGAACAGGGCCCAGTGCCCCCAACTTTTCTTCAAAGTGCCCTTTTTTCAGCTAAGACAATGGAAAATATGCCCTTTTGTTAAGACGAAGTGCCTTTAAGACGAAATGCCCCTCCAAGTTCAAGTTGCTTCCTACGCCACTATATACAAGATAATACTCGTAGTCCACTACCAAGCTCGTTTGTTGTGGATGACGTTCGTTGTGGATGACGTCATTATTACGTCAATATCATTAGGGTCGGTATGAGTGAG